TGGGTGCCCTGTAGTCCCAGTTACTTGGGAGGCTGAGACAAGAGGATTACTTGAGCCTGGGAGTTTGAGGACTCTAGCCAGGGTAACAGACACGCTGTCTTTAAAAAAAAAAAAAAAGGGATACTCAGGTATACACACATACCCAGTTTTTAACACCATGCCTAAAATAGTATGTACTTGAAAGACAAACTGAAGAACTTGGCAACAGGACTTGGAAGGCACTGTATCTTCTTAGAGGTGACCGCTAAAGAAATGCACTTGGATGAGATTTCCAAAGGAGAGAAAAGAAAACCAAGTGATCCTAAATATAGGTGATCATCACGGAACATCTTCATCTAGGGAGCAGTCCCAAAAATGTTTCCTGACTTCTTTCAGCCCTAAATACCTCATCTGTAACCTCATCTGTAACACACAGATTATTATTCCTACCTCATAGGTGGCTAGGAACATTAAAGGAGATAGCATATAAAGTACCTTATGTTTGGCACACAATTAAGATTCCCTTCTTTTGTCCAACCCCCATCTGAAAACATGTTAGAGCCTTATTCTTTCCTTATAACTTTTTTGTTGTTGTTGAGACAGAGTCTCAAATTGTTGCCCTGGGTAGAGTGCTGCAACCTCACAGCTCACAGCAACCTCAAACTCTTAGGCTCAAGTGATTCTCTGGCCTCAGCCTCCCAAGTAGCTAAGTCTATAGGCGCCCACCACAATGCCTGGCTATTTTTAGAGATGAGGTCTTGCTCTGGCTCAGGCTGGTCTCAAATCTGTGGGCTCAGGCAGTCCAACCACCTCGTCCTCCTAGAGTGCTAGGATTACAGGCGTGAGCTACCACGCCCAGCCTCTTTATAACTATAGTAAATGTTATACTCTGAAAAGCAACCCAGTCTAGAAAAATGAGGGCTTTTTGAGAAAGGATAACTAGCCTTATCAGATACTCTTTTCTAGTGCAGACATTCACAACCTCAACACTAGTGACAATTTTGGCCAGAAAATTCTTTACTGCAGGGGCTGTCTACCTAGCCAGGCGTCCTCAAACTACAGCCTGTGGGCCACATGCAGCCCGGCTAGGATATTTATCCTGCCCACCGGGTGTTTTTGTCACCACTGCCTGTCCTGCTTAGCAGCCAACTCATCCCAGGGCCTGCAGTCTGGCCCTCCAACGGTCTGAGGGACAGTGAACTGGCCCCTTGTTTAAAAAGTTTGAGGACCCCTGGTAGGCACTGTAGGATGTAGCTTCCTTGAACTTTGTCTATTAGGTACAGTAGCACTCCCCACCAAAAATGTCTCTAGACCTTGTACAAATGTCCCCTGGGAGGCAAAATTTCCCCGATTGAGAACTGATGCCCCAGAGCTAACTGAAATTCTCACAAAACCCTAAACACTTTCATTGACATCTGAAAATATATGTCATTAATTTGTTACCCACTGATTGATTCCACAAATTAAATTATCCTTAGTCTTTATAAGCTATTCTACTTAACAGTTAACCAAAACTGTTAGCTATCCCCTTAAGCATCAATAAAGTAGTCATAAATCAATTCCATCTAACTACTCAGTTCAGCATTATCATACAGCAATCCTGAAAGCCCAACTAATATAATGAAGTAGAACAGCCAGTCCCAAAAGGTCTCCACACAAAATTAAAAAGATTTGCCCTAATACTCTAAGTACCTATGTATTTTAACTTCCTCTCTACCGGTGGCACTAAGTTGATACTGTATAAAGTGAGTTCTCATTGTCTAGAGAATTTTACAAATTTGAAATAGACACTAATGACATACAACATGCATTATATATGTGTGCATGTATATGCACATATATTTAATGTACTAAATATACAACTCTGTGCCCGTTTCCTCATTGGTTTATTTTTGTTATTGTTGTTGTTGTTGCTGTTTGGGCAGGACTGGGTTTGAACCCGCCACCCTTGGTATATGGGCCAGTGACCTACTCACTGAGCCACAGGTGCCACCCCCGTTTCCTCATTGGTAAAATGGAGATAATTTTGTAGGTAACGGAGTGTCTACTTTACAGAGTTGTTACGGAATTGAATGAGTTAAAATATGTAAGGTGCTGAAACAGTGCCCAGCCCATACATATTTAAGTACTAAGCATTATTATTTACCATTATTTTCAAGAATGCAGAAGCAGAAAAAAGCATATCTTAGATGGCTTTTGAAAGTGGCCATACTAGAATCAAATAATGCACTTGCACCCAGATCTCCTGAGTTCACACTTCTGTTCCGTATCTAGTTGTTTCCATTTGGAAACATATCCTCATCTGTAAAATAGGAGTAATTCTTGTCTTCCTTCACTTACAGAGCTGTGTAACAAGATAATAAATAGGAAAGCACTGTGAAAATGGATTAACATTATACAAAATTATTTTTATGAAAAAATCTAAGGGGCATATGTTTAGTAGGGTAGTAGAGAAAAGCTGCATCTGTCTTCCAATTTGCTAGGAGAAGCTTGGTGAAGAAGGTGCCTTTTAAGGAAATATCCTAATCAAGCGCTGAGTACAAAAAGCACATGCCTTGAACTCAGGTAGGTCTAATTCAAACGTCTTTGCTGCTGCTTTATTCTACACATAATTTGAAAGCTCAAAATAAAAATATAATATCCTGACTTGTTTTTTTTTTTTT